CAAATCTGTACTCTAGTTACAAATTTGATAAGTGTCTTATAGATGTAGCTGCTTTGATGAGGTCACTTCTGGAACTTAATAGTGGACTCATTGTCAAGTTATAAATGTGATACTTGCCTTCCAAGAAGGCAATTATCCAGTAAATCCCAAATACATGAAATTGTTACTTACAAGTATTCAGATGTAGACATAGAACCATAGCCATGTCCTAGCCTAATAAAATAGAGTTTTCTCTCACTGAAGGCTTTGCTTTCCCCTTCTCACTCTATAGGTGGTATTGTAATAAAAACTCAGAAGGAACTTTTATTGCCCACATCAGAGGCAAAAAGGTGCCTTTAAGATACCCTCAGGGTAGGAACTTACACAACCTGCCCAATTAAGTCATGTTGAAGAGAAGCCAAGCAAATGCACTGAGTTACTTTGCTTGGTTCCCCATGTTTGCTTTCTCTTTCTGTTGTTCTTTGGTTCCTGATATAGTTTTGCCTCTGGATTTTATATTTTACATCTTTTGATGCATCCTCTTGTGGTTATTCATTTTTGGATCAAGACCTGAGTTATTTTATTATTATTGGTCCAGACTCAATATGTAACTGTCTAATTTCATTCCACCATACTATAGTTTAAAACATATAGTTTGACCTGTAAATAATTCCTAACTATAAACTTAAAAGCTGAAAGAAAACCTATAAAAATTTTGAAAATCTTAATGTCTTGACTGCTGCCTCAGTGTAACAGTGGTCAGTATTTAGGGATATGGCATGGAGAGACATGCCTACGATTTGTTACAGAGAAGAAAACCCGATGCTTTTATTGGCTGTATCTTGTTTTACTTTTTACAAAAAGATCTTTTTAAGAAATAATCTGTGTTTGGCTTAAAAACTGTCTTAGACACTTCATCAGGGCTCCCTGCTCCATCCCAGCACCCTTTGCTCACTTGAAGTCTTTGAAGCAACTGTGGGAGACAGCAAACTTAATATGCTATTTGCTTTGTACTCTCTTTAGTTTTTTGGCCCCTGCTTTGATTCTGTGTGGTTACCTGATCCACTTACTCCACTTCTACCTTGAGCAGGTTGACAGATAGGCAACCAGAAACTCAATACTAAGTTATAGTTGTCGTGGGTCAACTGAAGTTCCTTTTCATTGAAACACATACGTCTCTAGAGTAATGTTTTTGAAACTATTCCAAGAAAGGGATCTATGGACTATTGAGTAGTATTCTGTGAAAAAAGGAGAGTTCTCTGGTCAAATGGTATGGGACTTCCAATAAATACTAGGACTTTAAATGCTCAGAGGAGTCTTGCAGAAAGGAAGCCTGTCAAATGACCGTGTCTGTTTTCTCACCGCGGTTGTGCACGGAGAGTCTCTTCTCCTCGGAATGCCTAGTTGCATCTCAAGGCTCATCGGTTTTCTGTGGGAGACATTTTTTGGAAATTATGTTCTTAGAATTTGAACTGTAAATTAGTAATATTCCTGATCCACATCTTCAATAATACGTTTTTTTTACAGATTGATTTGAGAGAGAGAAACATCAATTCATTGTTCCACTTGTTTATGCATTCATTGGCTGGTTCTTTTCTGTACCCTAACAGGGGATCAAACCCACAATCAAACCCACGATCAAACCACAATCTATAGAGTGTCCTATATAGGGAGGACGCTCTAACCAACTTTACCGGCCGGGCTTCAATAATAAATTTTTAATAGGTTAATTGTAATTTAAACAGCAAGTCATCTGTATTTGTATTATGTTAGATAAAAATCATAGAATGTCAAAGGATTATCTAATTAAAACCAGGCATCTAATGAATTAAAAAATAAATTTGACAGGAAGTTATAGAAGCCTTTTTTGTGTACGTGTGGTTTGAGTTTTAGTATGAAACTGAGGCCAGGATATTCTGGCACATTTTAGAAAAACATATGATGATCTGGCCTTAATAGTTTGAGGTTAATACATGAGAAGGGCAAAGTTTGGACATTTAATATATCAATTTGGATATAGATTCAGTGTTAATCACAGGAGTACCGAGATACAGTAAGATAATTCTATAATGTGGATACTTCACCATATAATTAGTTTTCTGCGATGTGCAAGGTAATGTTCATGTTAAACAATTATAATTTAGAAGTCTCAGGTATTTTTGGGGATTGAGTTAAAGGAAATGTTTTTCCCATTTTTCATCATTTTAAATAAAATAACAATTATGACATGTACATATCTTTCTTTATAGATGGAGCCTTTTCATTCTCACCTTAAAATAAGTTCAATGTCAGTTAAATACTCCTTTTGTGGGGGGGTGGTTCTGAGTTACACAAGACCCAATAGTAATGCATCTTCCAGTATTTTTTAAAAAAATTATTTGCCATGTTTTAAAAATTTCTACATATAAATGAAAAGAAAAACAGGCAGCCTTAGGGGAAACAAATTTTATCAAATAAGTAAAATCATTATTTCATAGGTACTGAGTAGATAGATGAAAACTGTATCTTCCCAAAATGAACTAAATAATTGATGTTTTGACATAAACTCAGATTTAACAAGAGTTTCTATATTAAAAAGGTCTGTAAGTAGACCTTTATGATTTAATAATAATAAGAGAATTCCCTTTTTAACCTGCCAGCCCCTTCTGAAACCTTTCTTTTCCTTTAATACCACAAACGTGTGTGTTGTTTCAGACAGGGAAACCGTTACCCATGAAAGCATGCTGCCATTTTTCTTCATTAGCCCTTTGGTCTGGCTGTATATGGAGAAGTTGATTTTCTCTAACCAATCGACTAACCTAGGTGTTTGGAGAAGCAGTTTTAGTCAGTTAATTATATTTCTGTGCCCTGTTCTGGTTGGCTGATCGTTCCTGTTACTTAAGAGGAACAGTAGTTTTACCTCAATGTAGAAGCACCTCGCAGGGCAGGAAACGAAGGCAACAAAAACGATATGCCAGCTGTAATAACAAGCCCAGGCGTTGCAGCTTGGAGGGAAGCGATTGGCACGCTGCCCTCCTTCACACTTGCGTTCCTTTCAGGCTTAATGCAAGTGTAAGACGAAGTGAGTGAGGCTGCTCAGGGCTGCATGGACCAGTCTATCCGTCTGCCTTTCCCCCCCTGTTGCTTTGTGCCAAACCCATAGGTGAAATCAATCACCTGTTCCAGACGGCAGCTCCCAAAGCCCTGCCACAGAATTAGCTTTATTTAATGTGCTGCTTGGGAAGCAGGGAAGAAAAAGTGTACCTTGTGCCTTAACAAGACCTTGAAATGGAATCCATTTAACAAATATTATGGAATACATACTCTGTAACTGGTCTTGTGACCCTTATGCTTTTAAAACTTATTAGGGAGGGAGACATTGAAGAAATGGGGAGGGGAAAACTTACATGCTTATGTGTATTTTTAGATTTGAGGTTACTAACCCTTCCCAGACTAGATCATTAAGTACAAACCTATTCACACCCCACCATACCTTGTTCAGTCAGGTAAAAGCTGTTTTTCTTCCTCTTTTTCAAACAGCTCTTTTTGGGATTTGACCAGGTATTATCAGCAGCCATTTTCGACTTATAGTGAGAAAAGCTGATATGTGTGATTTGGCTATTTTCCCCATAACTATTTTTTCCTTGTTTTATAAATCTATCACACACTCGCAGAGAGTAGTGGCTCAATTCATTTTAAATAATTGCTTGTTACATGTAAGTTTGGTCAGGTGAAACCCCGAACCTGAACCCGAGAGCGCTGGAGTCCCAGCTGTTTAATATCCCATAGAATCAGAAAGCAGCCGTGGTGGGATGGAAACAGGACCCACAGCTGCTGCAATAATGGGCTGTCGATGTTTCAGCTTCCTCTGCATTTCATTTTATATCCCTTCTCCTGCCTGCTGTATTTGCTTAGGTAATTCTAATGCTGCCTCTGTCTTTTAAAAAAGGCACTTGTGCTCAGGTGTGGAAAACACCATTTAATTTACATTAAATCATGTTCAGCCAATTGTTCTGTTACCCAAGGAAAATTGCAATTTAATAAACTGTCTGGTATTTCAGAGTATTTTATTATGGCACCTTAAATGGAAATAAACATATTGTTAGTTAATTGGGCCCCGTGATTAACAAAGTAAATGCCCAGCCTTTCTTTATTAATTAATAAGCAAATATAAGAGTCTCTCAAACTTAGAGCCCCTGGTGGCTTTGTGAGAAATGGAGACACACTCCCTGTCCCCCCCAACCCCCCACTGCCCGCCCTAGACAGATTGCAAAACTTCCCTCCCTGGGCAGAGCAAGCAGAAAAGAAAAGGTGCCACTTCCTCCCAGGGGAACTGGAGTGCCTTTGGCTGGGTGAGTGGGAGCTGATGGCCCCCATTCACTCTCTGCCCTGACCGTGTGCAGGCAGTGCCCCACATAACAATCCCAGCAGTCCTGAGCCCCAGATGGGAAGACAGGTAACAGCATTCCATTCTGATTCTATCCCTTCCTGGCTTCAAACCCTAGAGGTTTTCTTGTTTTGTTGTTTGATTTGATGGGAGTTAATCCTTTTTGATAATAGTGGTATATGAGGAGAGTCAGAAAATTACCATTTGATTTTAGGGTAAACAAAGTGAAATGCCCTCAGTGACAGCTCAGTACAGCTTTTCCTTCCCAGTTTGCAATTTTAATAAGCACACCACAGGCTCTTTCATTAAAGGGAAAACCTATTTCTTGGACAATAATCCAAATATTTACTTGGAAAGGTTTGTTCTTCTTAAAGAGTTAATTGTAACTTTATTATCAAATGACTGTTTCTATGGCCTATGGAAGGAGCATTCATTTGATAATAAAGTTTATATATATATGAAAATTTTTGGGTATGTGTTATTTCTTATCATACACAAATAGCAACAAAATTAAGTAACTATTATGTTTTCTGCTTTAACATGTCAGAAGCTGCTGCCATGCTGTGAAAAAGTATTATATGCTTTCCCCCTACACCCCAAACTGGAAAGGAATGAGTAACCATACTTAGGACTTTTTTTCCTCTTGTTATTTCAGGTGATGTGTTTCACATCACTGCTCCTAATAAATTAACCTATGAGGAGGCTGAAGAAGAGTGTGCAAACCAAGATGCTCGGCTGGCGACAGTGGGGGAGCTCCAGGCGGCTTGGAGGAATGGCTTTGACCAGTGCGATTACGGGTGGCTGATGGACGCCAGTGTTCGCCACCCTGTGACTGTGGCCAGGTCCCAGTGTGGAGGTGGTTTACTTGGGGTGAGAACCCTGTATCGTTTTGAGAACCAGACAGGCTTCCCTTCCCCTGATAGCAGATTTGATGCCTACTGCTTTAAACGTAAGTGTTTGATACCTTTTTCAATGTTACAGATTAAAAAATACTTCGAAGGCATGCATTGATGTTCAACTAGCAATTGGATGGATTCCATATCTTGCAGTGTGTGCACAGAATGGAAACAGTTCAGTAATTTTCAAAAGCAATCAAATGGAACAGCAGTGATATTGTTTAAGCAATGGGAAGTTTGACAAATGGTTTTATAAAGGGGATGAGGAAATGTCAAGTTGAGGTCTTAACTGTGCCCCGTTGCACCACGGAACACATTACTGAGTAGTTAATTTATATTAACCATAGTCCTCAAATGCAATTAGATAATTGGTGCTGTAATGCTGAGGCCAACTATGGCTGAGTTGCATCCTTGAATTCTGTTTATTTTGTCTTTGGTATATCTTTCATTGAAATGGCGGAGAACTTAAATATCAGTAATTGCAGGTAAGTACTTGTAACTGACAAGGATAATCATAACATTCAATTAATGCCTAAAAAATGAACCATGCTATAAATAAAAATCTCCATTTATCTCATTTTGTCTCAAATAAGAGAAATATGTGCCTTCTAATAAACAATTCTCTAGTACCAATTGACATACAATATATGCTTTTTGCAAGGTGTGACACAGGCTATCTTCATTAGGTTTAATGCTTGAAATTCATTTTAAATAAGATTTTTCAACATTCATGATATAGTTATTTAAATTTTTCAAATGACTTTAAATTATTTTATCAAAACTAGTCACATGATAGAGTATCATACTTGTAGAATGCTTAATTAAACAGACAAGTAATCCAGAGTCTGTTAGTACTGTTGGGACTGTCTCATGACAGCTAAAAAAAGATCTCCTAGAATTTTGGAGTTATGTTTAAGATAGAGCCATGTTATATTGAAATGTAGCAAAAAGTTTTTACTAAGTTTCTAATACATCTTGTTATAGCAATATATAACAGAAATGAATGGAAAATACCTTATTATGTGATTGGTTTCTGAAGTCAAGTACACAGGCATTCTTCATCAGCCAAAAAGACATAGCTGGGGAATCTGAGGAGTCAGCAGAGTAGATGTTAGAGCCACGAACAGGTGTGATTTCACATACTGCTGTCTCCCAGCTCTGATGCCTCAGCTTGGATTCCTCCCATGAGCTCAACTTTCTGAGTGTTAAAGGCACGAGTTGTGTATCCGTGCAATACAAATGAGCCATAAAAAGCCACTGAAAATACTAGCTTTTGTTTCTAAACCCTAAAACAACAGAAAAAGTCTTCCTTAATCATTTCTAGGAAAACAAATAATAATAACAACACTTCATCCCTAAAAGTAGAAAGACACATTCTCATAGCAGTGATTTTTAAGTAGTTCAAGCTCTGTGATCAGTGTCACATGAAGCGACTGACATGACCGAGGGACAACATGAGATGCTGTGCGTTGGGGTGAAGGGGTTAGAGAGGTGAAATTAGGCAAGGAGTAGAATTCTCCAACATTATCAGTTGCTGGATTGTATTTTTCTGTGCTTTATAAAACTGGCACTGGTTAAACAGTTTTTCCCCCTGAGGGTAAAAGTTAAACCAAAGCCTGTCTGTAGCCACAAATAATTCATCCTGATGTATTTTAAATTATTTGTTTGAATGAGGAATTCATATGAATGTATGAAATAGCAAGGTACTTAAATTCCAATAGAAAAACCACCTACTAAAAATCTACATAAAAATCTTTAAAAGTTGGAAAGTTTAGGTCTATTGTTTCTCTCTAATTCATTTGAATCTATGTACCTTGAACATATGTAGCTTATATACGTCAACTTTTGGTTATTGTTTCACCTAAGCTAGAGGCTAGATTTTTGTTTTTTTTTTCTTCTCTACCTAAGACCCTATCACATTCAAAATTTATTCAACACATAAAAGGCTTAGAATGTTTAGTCATAACACAAAAACCTTTCTTAAAGCATACACAATGCCAACAGTTTCCCCAAATTTCTAATGCAATTTTCAAAGATTCTTTTAATATATGGGGTGTAGGTTTACAGTTGTGTATTCACAAAAACAAAAGTTTATTCTTGTATTATTATATATTATTACATTATTTTTCACATGAACAACTGTAAACTTACTTTTGACCTACCCTGTATATGTGTATTTTAATATATAGATATATTTTAATTTGAAAAATATTCTCAAATGATTTGACTGCCATCCACTTTTCCCACACAGTAGAGTAGTGACTGAATTCTGTAGGGTAACCTTTATAGGAGTTATAGCCTCACCAACAGTTTCAAAAGTGATTTCAGAAATGTATAGTTGGTTTGATAAAATAGAGGAATTTAGAATATAGTCATTTTTCTGGTTTGCTTTTACCAAATGCAGAAAGTATTTTTATAGCCACTTCTTGGTGAGTGAACAATAACAAATCTCACTTTGCTATAATTCCCTTTTTCTTCTAAAATCATTGAATTACCAGCCATTAATAATAGTTGATAATGCATATAACTAGAATTTATTTTTGTCAAATAGGTATTAAAAACCAGTAAATAAACATCTTTATTAAGTAAAGTTTTCTTCTGTATCGCCCTGTGATGATTAAACTAAATTGTATACTTTTGATTTTTCTATGACCTCAGAGTTGAGCAAGTTATGTGAAAGTTGGAGTTAAACAGGGTATTGAAATATCACCCATACATTCCCAAATTTAAGTGAATCAAAAGCATTCAGGACATGATAATCTCTCATTTGATATTATTAATGATTTCCAAGACAGGGAGTGGAGAATGTTTCCTAGAAAACCCATTCTAGTACCCTATCACCATCACTCAGAGAGTTTTTTCTAATTATCTAAATCTGTCATATTAGAGTTTGAACCCATTTTTCCTTTTTCAGTTGGAAACCAAAATCTACAACAAATAACATCCATCTCTATTATTGAATATTATTGAACACAATTGTCCGCTTGTCCCTCAACTGAAACAATGTTCTTATTTTGAAATTTCAATGTCTAAACCTCCAATCACCCATGTGATCTTGGTTTGTATCCTCCTTATTTTCACATCTGTCTGTTTGATTATGCTTGGAACTAAAAGCAGTGGCCTCAATAAGGCTAAATAAGTACCCACCAGTTAAGATGCCATCTCTCATACTTATTTGTTTACTTTTAAACTTGGCCTGCCCTTCTAACCTACAGTCAGTTTAGCTTTTTTGTGCCCTATAATATGACCGTAGGCACCAACATTCATTCCTCTCTAATTGGCATTTTTAAAGTGTTTTCTGTTTACTGAATTTGAATCTGTTAGCATTTCCTCATTCATAAAACTTTTTTTAAAAGTTTGAATTTTAATCTCATCATTTCATCCTGTACTTCCCCCCAACAATGAACCCAGAATCAACCTATCGAATATCCACTTTATTTGTGGATCCTATGTTTATAATTATTTATGCATAAAACATTTAATCAGAAGAATTTGAAATTAGTCATCTCCCTGTAGTGTATGTAGGTAGTGTGGGCATGAATTAAATCAATGAGCATGCTGCTAATAGGGTTTTTATATCTTATTAGAAAAATCTGCCTGATGTCTAACAGAGAAGACAGTCCATATGACATAAAATGCCATGAGTGCAGTGATGTGAAACATCTGTGTGGTAGACAGCTGCAGGGGTTGGAAGGGAGCTTTTGTGGGAAAGCGGCATGCTGATTTCTGTTGGTTCCTCAGCAATGCAGTTGAGAGGACACTGGTAGTTTTCCAAGACAAAAACTTCCCCATGGGAATGCTCCTTCTGCAGGCATTGTATTCTCACCTATATAATCATCATTATTACAGCAACATTTATGATATCGCTTCAGACATATTTATATTTTTAAAAATGATTTTTGGGGGGGTGAGGGAAATGGTTGAAAAAAATGGCACAGATGAGGAAATATGCTGAGTTATGATGGAAATCAGCTGTTAAATTGATGTAAAATTCATCCGACCCCAAAAGGAAGTCTGAGGTTTTTCATTCCGAATAGTATAATTAATTAACTTAATTATAGGCAGACATTTTACCAGGGCTCTAAAATTTTTGAAAACCATTGTTCTTTTGTTTTTTTATCACATAACTCCTGGCTTTGTAAAGGACATTCTCTGAGACTTATTAAGTCACTTCACTGTGCTCCAGGCCTAGATGAAGCCAATCCAAATGCTACAGTAATAACTAACAATGACAGAGTTATTAGGTTTTATTTTAACCTGAGTCCTTCATTTTTTGAACACTGTATGAGTGTTTTCATAGCACTGTAGAAGTTGCTAGCACAGAACTCGGGTTGGAACGCATGGAGACCTGATTTACAGGCTCTCTGCATGGCTCTAATGCAGTTATCACCTCCTGTGAAGTTAACCTCATCAACCATGGAAACACTCAGAGGAAAAAAGCAAGATTGCCTTTTTTGTTGTTAATAATATGATTAATTTTTTTCTAATATACAGTGTCCTAAGAGCTTATATTATGCTTCCATGGGAACTTTCTCTGTATGTACATTTACTATTTCCCAAAAGAATGCAATTATAAGACAAACATGATATTTGGCAGTTAAATGAGGTAACAGTTATGGAATGTCAGAGGATATAGATAATTGAATTAAAAGAAAAAATAGTCAACCACACTTTGGTTCCTTAAGTTGCTCATGTTAATCAAAATAGAATAAAGCTTCTACCAGTAAATGAATGAAGAAAGAGCTTTCCTTTTAAAAAAGAAAAAGGATATTTAACATAGTTTGATGAGTTCAAGTCTTTTTTTAAGTTTAGTGTTGTTCCACTACTAAAGGATAAATAGTGACAGACTTTAAAGATTATTTAACTGCACCATAATGTAAATAGCCACCAAGCTTTTATTATAAAGTTGGTTAATCTAGGCTATGACAGCTCAAGTCTGATATATAACAAAATAACATCATCTTATCACTAAATTTTTAAACAGACTTTATTTTTTAGAGCAGTTTTAGGTTCACTGCAAAATGGAGTGGACAGTGCAGTGACTCCCGTGTGC